TACTCGAGCTTGAAATTAAAAGACTATAAACAATCGTGAGAATGGCACTTGAACATGTTCAAAACAATAATGGCCTTAAACGAAATGTACAAGAAACAACAGACAACAGGCGGGGCGGGCAGGTGAGGTAAGATGGTTAAGGGGAGTTGGGCAACGGGCAACGGGCAATGGGCAACTAGCAACGGTCTACAGGCATCAGGCAACAGGCAACCGGCAACGGCAAGACAAATCAACAAGCCGCAGTCGCTATGCTGTGCTGTGCTGTGTGTTCGAGCCAAAGTTAAAGCCAACAAACGGAGCGAGCCATTCAGCCGCACGGACAGCCAGGCGGCTAAATGAACAGACAGTCAATCAACTTTAAGCAAAAAGCACAACGACAACGACACGTCGCGACGTTAGCGGCGACGTCGACAGCGACTGCAGCGGCGACAGCATCAAAGAGAAATGCGCACGCTCAGAGTTAGCTACAGTTTTAGCCTTAGCTACACACGATCATCCGTTGGAGATGACTTAAGGAGTGCGCTCCGAAAACTATTACAAAATGATCAAAACAGCTAAAAAGAATGAAAAGAGCTCAAAATGGAACAACAACAAAGGCAACAACATGAAAATCAAATCAGTGTGCGAACTGGACCTGAACCTCGGCATCTAAATGCTATTCGGGCTCAGACGGCGATCGTATCGGATTGGATCGGTTCGAGACTCGATTACAATAATTACAATCGGCTACGCGAGATTTACCAAATCACAACAACAACARTAACAACAACGGCAACACATCAACATCAGCAGCAGTAACCATATTGCAGCACACAGATACACAGATGCAGATACAGATACAGATAACTCAGCTATTACGTGCATATACAATTTTTATAAGAAATTGAAGTCAAGAAGCAGAATTAAAACAAAACTCATCAAGCGACGTCGCGACGTCGAAGATGCAAACACACACACGCACACACACACAGATATAGAAGCCAAAGCTAGCTAAATACAAGCTACAGTATAGGCTCGTTAGAGTGGATGTAAACATTTGCAGACGCTGAGAAAAAGAAGCCTTACCAAAAAATGACTATTAAATAATATAAAATTGTAATTACTTGAAAATTGTAACTGATTTTTAGTTTTTTTCTTTTTAAATATTTTTAAATTTAATTTTTTAAATAATTTTTAGTTTAATCAAATAAAAATTTTTCTTGAATTGGCTAAATAATATTTACTGAAGAAATATTGTTCGTTAATGAAGATTCATTACTGTATACACATGATATGACTCAATTGCTGCATGTGTGCGTGTGTGTGTTTATAGAAAAGAAACAGACGAACGGACAGAAAACGGACGGCAGATCCATCTTCAGCTTCATCAAAGCAGCGCAGCAATTTTCAGTTAACAGCTCTCAGCTTTGAGCATAGCGCGCACTGTAAGCGGTTAGCTGTGTATCTGCTAGATACAGTGTGTGTGTGTGTGTGTGAGAGAGAGAGAGAGAGTGGAGAGGCCAAGCATCATTGGCACAGCGAATCGGGCAAAACGAGAAATTGAAAAGACAGTTACAACGTCATAATGAAGCTAAAGGCTATGCTGGCAAAACTATACAAAATCGACGGCAAACCGCATAAAACACAAACACACACGCACACAACCACACACAGTCGTGATATTCTATACATATGTATGTATGTATGCTTGTATGCGTATGCATAGGAGCTTAGCTTTTTGCGAAGAAAATTTAGCGAGAATTAAGAGCACGCCATCAATTGAAGAGTTTGGCGATTGAGAGAGAGAGAGAGAGAGAGAGAGAGGAAGAGCCCTGTGCTTAGTGGGCACAGTGAAAGGCGTGCGCTTAACAGAGCGTCAACAGTAGCGCGTGTAACGCACGCAGCGAGTATTATAATTGGCATGCAGCGTTTTGCAACACTGCCAGCCATTAATAAAATAAAAATGTGATCTCGTTTTATGATAATGAAATACGTATGCATGTACGTAAGTATGTATGTATGCATGTACATGTGCTCGTTCGTAAATTGCTGAAGCTTTGGGTATGCAACTGTTGCATCTTGATGCAGTTGCTGACACAGCATCAGGCATGCTGCAAGCACACACCAGCACCCCAACGTGTGCATGTGTGCCTTTTTGTATGTATGTTTTTCAACAAAATTTATTGATATTCATTGTTTGTTTGTTGTCGATCGTCGTCATCGTCGTCGTCTTTGTCGTTGCTCGCTGCCAACTGAAATCACAATTGTTGGAAAAAAAGCAAAGAGAAAAAAAATTGCTGATGCTGCTGCTGCTGCGCTGCTGCTGCGACTATTCTTTGCCCGGGCCTTCACTTTTTCTAGTTGCACACATACAAGCGTTTCCTGCGCGGACACCTATGCGCAAACATACATACATATGTATGTATGTACATGTATGTATGTGTGTGAGTGTATGTAACTGAAGTTTAGTTGCAACTGGCTTTTGGTCTATAATTCTTGTTTCTGGCTTTCGTGCCGAAGCTGCTGCTGCTGCAAGTAGAAAAAAAAGAAAAAAAAAATTCAGATAAGGAGCCAACGTTAAAGACGCGGCCCAGCATCTTTAAACAGGAAACTGCCTGGCGCTGTGGCTCCCAAAGGAAGCGGACCAGTAATATTTACATTTATTGCAAAATTATGCATATGCCAGTTGCTGTTGCTGTTGTTGTTGTTGCTGTTGTTGCCTTTGTTGTTATTGTATATAAACCATGCGCCATAGATGCGCACAGTTTATGTTTAAATATAAACATTGCTGGCAATTTTTTGTTTTGTATAATCTATGCGCACACATACATATGTACATATACACATGCCTAAATACATACATACATATGTATGTACGTACATAAACAATGCTTGAGCTTGGTTTGCAATATGATTGCGCTTTGGAATTTTACAGCACTAGATTTTTTTAAAGGTTGGCTTTTGGGCATAGCAAGCACATATTGCAGTGGGTCTTAGATTATTTCTTCCAGTCCCTTAACACTATTTGTGCATCTATAAAATTAAAAATTTAATTATCAAAGTAGTTTAAAAGAAAGATGTTAGTAAGTTCATGCATTAAAAAATTGTTTTGGAAACATTTTATTATAATTTAAGCACATTATACTCTGGATTACCATTTTCAATGGGTTCTGGGTAGACAAATCCACAGAAAGTAGTTCCACAGCTGATTTCAGTCAGTTATGCTTACATTATAAAGCAAAACTATTTACCATTTAGCTATTTTTATATGTATATAGTAAGTGTACATGTATGTATGTAAATGTTGATTTGAATGCCTTCCAATCTGAATGCGATTTTGCCTTGCTTTCCAATATACTGATTCGTCTTGGCGTTTTACAGCACTGCCTTTTTTGGTTGGCTGCTGCGTCGTGACTATTGTTTTATTGCATGTTTTATTCAAATATACACTCAATATGTACTGTATGCAACTAAATAAATCATGCAACCTTTTATTGTTGAATATTGTACGGATGTGTGTATGTGTGTGTATGCATATAGAGCCATGCTAATGCTATATCTATCTATCTTACAGACAAAAAGCGTTTGTAATTTGAGTAAAGTTTATTAGATCGTGAACTCATTTTGTTGGGCGGCCCATGTATTTTCGTGGTTGGCCGAGAAAAGCAAGCGGTGTCCCAAAGATTTTCATGGAAAGTTTCTGTGGTTGGGCTGTTGCTGCTGCTGCTTTCTTGTTTATGAAAATTTCACGCTAGTCGAAAGAATTATTAATTTCGCAGCAGCAACAGCAACAACCACCGTAGAAACAACAGCAACAAGCAACAAGCAACAGCTACAGCAGCAAAAGCGGCAGCAGAGCTACCAAGTGGGAATTATGCATCGCTGCGCAGAAGCAGAACGCAGCACACACACATGCGCAAACATAGTCTGTGTTGGTGTGCGTGTCTGTGTGTAAGCGCGTGTAAAATATGGTAAACATGATAATACGTAATAAAAAATAGTGTAACAGAAAAGGGAAATAGTATAAAATCAGGTACAAATTTTCACCAAAAACCGTTTGCGTCGCTTGGCCGCAGTTGTTGTTATTGTGRTTGTTGTTGTTGTTGTAAAAGCTGGCTGGCTGACTTTGACGATTTGGTGGTCACACAGTGTGAAGAATGGGCTAGGAAATATTGTATGCCAGCTCTGTTTGTTGGGCTGTTACAGATTTGAACAGATCTACCCAACCAGATAACAAATGAAAGTGCCTGCCAGATCAGCGTGTGGATGGGAGCTGAAGGCGAAGGAGACGGAGACGGAGACGGAGAAGCAGGAGTAGGAGGAGGAGTGGGCAACAGAACGAGTTGCCTGCTAACAACAAATGAAATGGGCTTAAATACATTTCGCTGCAGCATAAGAGAATTACGGAAAGTCAACGTCATTTGACATATGATATATGTATGTCCACTCTGTGTGTGTGTGTATGCGTGCGTGCGTATGTGTAAGAGTGTGTAAATGCATTATGAAGAAAGATCTAAGATATGCATTTTGTTTAAGCTTCACTGTGCCTGTGAATAGCGGCAAAAGTCAGCTAGCAAGCTACAACTATTAAAATACAATTACAGCAACATCTGGGAATACAATCATTGTCAGTGTTGGAGAATGCCAAAATACAAATAAAAAGCAAAGCTGTGTGCTCGAATGTTATTTCATTTACTTCAATTTTTAAACATTCTAAATTAAGCACTGGCTACTGAGGTCTTGGGCTTTCAAATGTGACTTAGCTGCGGATGATGTGCGTATGTTCCTTAACAGTGTTGTAAAATGCCACAAAGCGAGAGTCATTAAATTCTATAGGTAATAAATAATGAAATATGTATAATTAGGAGACTATCTTAAATCTAATAATTATCTAATAATAATAATTATCTAATAATTTCAATTAAAAGCTTTCATGCTTACCCAGATTTAACAACACTGCTGCCTAGTGTTGTAAAATGTGCCTTACGACTCGAGAGTCTTAGTCCTTAGTGATTTACAGCACTGCTCGAATTTGTCAGTGTCAATAGTGAAAAACAGCATGCGCTTAGATATGGCTAGCAAATTGTTAAATTTTGGCTCGAAGCTATTTAAATCCTCGAAGAACTTTTTCAGTGGTGCATATGGAAAGCGCGGCTCATCGTCGATCAATGCCAGGAAATGGACTGGAGCACGCCAGAAGTTGTTGACATTTGGGGCGCTAACTGGAGCCACCGGACTACTGATGTACGCCATGGACGCCAGTGTGGACGCGTCCAGCGATAGTGTGCATCCGGCCAAGCAGCAATGGCCGCACAAGGGCTTCTTGTCGGCCATTGATAAGGAGAGCGTGCGTCGCGGCTATCAGGTGTACAAGGAGGTGTGCTCCTCCTGCCATTCGCTGCAGTATATCGCCTATCGCAATTTGGTGGGCGTGTGCATGACCGAGGCGGAGGCCAAGGCCGAGGCGGAGGGCATTACCGTGCGTGACGGACCCGACGAGGAAGGCAACTATTACGATCGTCCGGGCAAGCTGTCCGACTATTTTCCAATGCCCTATCCCAATGAGGAAGCTGGGCGTGCTGCAAATAATGGGGCCTATCCGCCGGATCTTAGCTACATTGTGTCCGCACGCAAGGGCGGCGAGGATTATGTGTTCGCCCTATTGACTGGCTACTGTGACCCACCGGCTGGATTCGCTCTGCGCGATGGTCTCTACTTCAATCCGTACTTCAGCGGTGGCGCCATTGCCATGGGCCAGTTGATATCTAATGAGTCGGTGTCCTATGCTGATGAGGATGTGGCCCCGTCAGCCAGCCAAATTGCCAAGGATGTGACCACATTTCTGTGCTGGACTTCGGAGCCGGAGTATGACATTCGCAAGATTCTCGTTATCAAGGTGTTCGTCATATCCGCATTTCTGATTGGCATTACCTACTACATCAAGCGCTTGAAGTGGTCTGCATTGAAGTCTCGTAAGATATTCTTTTTGCCTGAGATACAAGAGAAAGCCAAGAAAGCTGCCGAGGATAATTGTCCCAAATAATTATAATTATTGTAATCTGTAGCAACATTATGATACAACAAACATTTTATAATTCAATTATAATTGTATAATTGAATTGCGCGGGCTGAAACGGTTTTGATTGTGATGTGAATAAACTTGATAGAGCTGTTATTCAACAAAATCATCGTTTCAATATATCGATAGAATTTCATTGAGTCTCGTTTTAGTTCTTTAAAAGTAAGTTTCCAGCATAAAATCATATAAAACATATAAGTCAACTGCCAAGGGTGATATTTATAAAAAATCAAATTTATTTATATACATTTTTTCATTTATCAGGCGAATTCAGTACCAGTGTTACTGTGCAGAAAGCCGAAGCTGTAGTACGCGACAGGGCTGCCACCTATCGTATAATTGCGGCGAATTTTCAATAAATACCGGTTCGATATAAAATATTTCGGCGAAACCGTAGCTGCAACAGCTGATTTATTACAAACAAAAATAAAGGAATTTCGATGGCATCTGTCGATTTTATGAAAGCGCTTCAATTCGCGGCATACAAACATAGTAAACAACGCAGAAAGGATCCCGACTCCACGCCGTACGTTAACCATCTTATAAATGTTGCCACAATATTAGCAGAGGCTGGAATTAAAGATGAGGGCGTCCTTATAGCGGCTATATTGCACGATGTTGTTGAAGACACAGACACAACCATTCAAGAGGTGGAGCAGCTGTTCGGCACCGATGTTTCCAGTCTGGTGTTGGAAGTGACCGATGACAAGAGCCTGGAGAAGAGCGAACGCAAGCGCCTGCAAATTGTAAATGCCAGAAATACAACAAAGCGCGCCAAGCTCATCAAATTGGCCGACAAGCTGGACAATCTGAGGGATCTACGCAAGACCACGCCTTGTGGTTGGACAGAGGTTAGTTATGAGAGTATTTAATGGAATGAGAGCGGACTTAAATTTATTCCACAACTGCAGGAACGCCGCGATCAGTACTTCGAATGGGCCAAACTTGTGGTGGACAACTTGCGCGGGACGAATGCGATAATGGAGGAGAAACTGGACCAGATTTTCGCTGAGCGATCTCTTGTATAAATAAGGTTAAGGCTGTGACCCATGACTGATGCTAGAGCTTTCAATATAATAATAATAATAGTACAACATTAAGTGAGAATCGGTTTAGTTTTTATTGTTCTCATAGAATTCCAGCATGAGCTTGGCCAGCTTCTGCGTCTCCTCCAGCGTAATGGCATTGTAGAGAGAGGCACGTATGCCGCCCACTGACCGATGGCCCTTCAGTTGTATCATGCCTTCGGCCTCGGCTTTGGCCAAGAACTCCTTCTCCAATTGCTCGTTGCCCGTGCTGCTTCCAATGCGGAAGGGCACATTCATTCGGGAGCGCACTTGCCTCTCCACGGGGCAGTAGTAGAAGCCATTCGATTGATCTATGATGTTGTAGATGAGCTGCGACTTGGCCTTGGCACGCTCCGACATGCCGGCAACGCCTCCGTTGGCTTTGATCCACTTGAAGACGAGACCCATGACATAGATGCTAAAAAAGAGGAGCATTAGCTAAGTGGCTTAGTACTCTTCTGCAGCGCGACCTACCCGAATGTGGGCGGAGTATTGAGCAGCGAGTTGTTCTTTTCCATCAGCTCAAAGTTCAGTATGGACGGTGTGACCTTCAAGTGCTTGCCTATCAGGTCCTCGCGCACAATGATCACTGTGACACCGGCGGGTCCAATGTTCTTCTGGGCACCGGCGTAAATCATGCCGAACTTGCTGACATCGATGGGCCTGGACAGAAAATTGGACGACATATCGACCACCAGGGGCGCCTTCACCTCTGGCACAAAGTCAAACTCAACGCCCTCCACAGTCTCGTTGTCGCAGTAGTAGACATAAGCGGCATTCGGATCGAGTTTCCAAGTGCTTTGCCTGGGCACTGTGGTATAGGAAGCCAGCTTGGGCAGCACCGCATTCACTTTGCCATACTGTGCCGCCTCTTTGGCTGCCTTGGCCGACCACGAACCGGTGATGACGTAATCCGCAGTGCCTGTGCTGCCAATGAGATTCAGGGCAGACGCTGCGAACTGTCCCGTGCCGCCTCCCTGCATCAGCAGCACTTTGTAGTTCTGTGGAACGTTGAGCAGCTCGCGCAGATCGGCAATGGCCGTCTCCTGGATCTTGGCATAGTTGCTGGAGCGATGCGACATTTCCATGACCGAAATGCCGCTGCCATTGCAATTGAGCAGATTGGTCTGCACCTCTTTCAGCACCTATGCGGGAGAAATAATGAGAGGACTCGCTTATAACCTAGAACACTTTTATTCTTTGTTCCTATTTAATTGTTTTTGCTGACCTCTTCGGGCAACTTGGCTGGGCCGGCGGCAAAGTTGATAACCATGATGGCGATGATACTATTTCCGATTCACGAACCTCGTCGGTAAGTCGTTAAAATTGAACTGAAAGTGTTGTGGCTAGGCGGCAATGGAAGCGATCGACTCAGACGGCAGCGACTGCTGATAAGTAATACGAGCACCAGACAGAGAATCGCAACAACTTATACACGTATTTATGTATGTATGGCTATGTGTGTATAATAATGCAAAGAGTGTAGGTACAAAGACAAACGGACAACGAACCAGAGGCGCGGTCCACAGATTCCATGGGAAACTGAAGCTTACAAATACTGCGCTAGCTACGCCACTGGTCAAGCAGCAGCAGCGAAGGCGAAAATGAAGCTCAGAGAGATGCGAAGACCGATCAAAACAAGTTGACAAACCACAGCGAAAATAACACGCGATTTACGCTGAGCGTCAATTCGCCCCATTGTCATGTTGTTGCTATGCACTTTACTGGAAAGACGTAAACAAGTGCAAATGCAAGCAGTAAACAAGAATAAAGCATAAATGCAAGTACAGCAAAGCTTCGCTAAGGTGAACATATCGTAAGAATAACCAGAAATTCATACATTTTTAAATTAATACAAGAATAAATACAAATATTTTATTTATTTTTATTTATAAATTTTCAATATATTTTTAATATGGTCGGTACTCGTAGACAATATAGTCAAACAAACCTGTTGTTTAATAAGCTGTAATGGCAATTAGATAGCGAAAAAAATTGATTGGATCGCGTTTATTTATTTAATGCATCTCAATTTCTGATTATATAACAGCATATTTCTATATAAATGTGTAAATTGAATAATATTTTTAAAATATTTTAAGGTCTTCTCTGCCTTTCTATAGTGACATCAGGCAAAGTGCCTAGTTAATAGGCCTATCAATAATTTGTTTACAAGAGTATCAATAATGTGCTTACATTTGTATGTGTATGTACGTATTAATATATACTAATGTATGTACATATGCACAAAGATTATGGCTGAGTGCTTCTAAGTTCTTATCGTACTGATTCGATGATATCGTTACCGGAAATAATAACTTTCTCAGACTTGAAGTGGTTGAAATTTTATTTATGCCACACAAGTCTCAACTGCTCTAATTACTTTATCATTCATCCGTCCATTGATTTAGAACGCCTGTGAACTGCTTCAGTTTTCCAATTTAGTTCCAAAAAGCCGATGGCAAAGCGAAATTCCAATAAGATGCAGGCAACGTGCCTGGAAATTTAAACGTGTGCCTATTCGTGACTGCTTAAGTGTATGTATGTGTGTGTATGTGTTTGTGAGCGAGAGCAAGCGATACGTACGATTGTGCATGCGAGTGTTAGTGTAGGCAGTAAGTAGTCAATGTGTGTGAGTGAGTGGTCATTCATAAACGTAAAGCCAATAATTTAGTGTTGTTTGGCAAGGGGCTTGGCCCGTTTTGGTCTTTAATGAGGCTTGCACTAAAAAAATAAGGAAAAACAAGCAAGTATTTTGTCGTTGTGTACTACTATATTAAGTGTTTATGATTTATTGCAACATTTAATGTACAATTCTAGAATTGTATTCCAGTTGTTGCAGCCTATTGCGGTAGCGGTTGCGCTTGCACCTTGCCCACAATATCGCTCCAGAAATTGCCGTAGTCTTTCAGCACAGTACCGCTGCAATGAGAAGTCGTATATGAGAGAATATGTTGTAATGTGTGAAACAAGTTTTCAATTAAGCCACAAGCTACAGATAGTCACAGCTAGATGAGTCAACAGTTTTGGCCAGAGATTTTCAAAAGCCTTTCCAGCACTGCGCTACAAAAGTGCGAATGCTTTGCCTTTACTTAATTTGTTAATTGCATGTTTATTGTTATTAATAATCAACGATCACAAGCTGAATGCGTTAAGAAGACTTGCCAACACTGTGCTACAGCTTTATGTTGGCTTCTGCGACAATTTATCAACGACAAAGATAAGAAGTTAGTCGAAAGCCTAGTGTGTAGGCCCTTTCCAGTGTCGACATATACATAATTTATTTATCATTTGGCACATTATGCGTCTGTCAAGTGATAAATGATAAGCTGTCATGGCTGACACACCCACACACACACACATACACATTCAGGCACACACTTGCCATGCAGCAGAGTGTTGCTATTGTGTGTTGCATGTGAGAGAGAAACATCAACAACATTTTGCCGACGTCATTGTCAGCGTCTTTTTGTCGCAACTCTTTGGCTTCACTCGCAGCATTTCTCTAATTTTTTTTGTTCGCCTCTTCTCTTGAACAAATCAATTACATAAGGCCTTTTCTTTGATTACCCGGCAATTATGTGCGCCTTTGCTATGTGGGTCAATGCGGCGTATGATTAATGAACTGGCCCTCTGACGAAGATGATGATGTAGCCCAAAGAGCTTGAGTTGAGCATTAGCCAAGTGCCACATCATCGGCGGCTTCGAATGGATCCTTTCTACTTACGTGAAGTAGACGTTGCCTCGCTTATTTTGGGGCGCCTTCCATATGAGCTTGGCGCCCAGCTTATCCCGGTTATCCGAATGCGTTATGGCCGAGCACTCGGGTATGGTCTTGGTGTTCTCGCTCTGCACCCATTCGCCAATCCATTCGTTCGAGTTAGCATCGCGCGCCTGCAGAAAGAAGCCACGAAACGTGGTGGACTGATGCAGCTCCTGGGCATAGATCACCACAGAGACTTCCTGGCCCGGATGGTAGGTCTGCGAGCTGGCGACCACCTCGAACGGATTCGTGTGCGCCGGCTGGGTGCGCGCCTTGCCATGATTGGGCTGGTTGGCGCGCTGCTTGACGCATGTGTCGGCCGGAGCACCGTCCGGAAAGGCCCAGATGCCGGCGATCAGCTGCAGCAGGAGCAGTGCTCGATTGCAATTCCAATGCCAATTTGCCATGGCTATGACTGCGAGTCTGACTATGCTGTTCCGCTATTCCGTTAGTCGCGCGCGCTTCGCGTTAATCAAATATTAAAACTCTTGCGCTGACCGGCGGCGTTGGCGCTTTTAAAGCCTCGAGCTGTGCGTCCGACAAAAAAAAAAAGCTCATGCTATTGGCATGGGCGTCGCGCTGGCTTTGTCGCTGGCTCGGTTTGGGCCAACCAGTTTTTAATGATCAAAACGCCAAATAGTTATGCGCAGTTCCTTTCCTGCCATGCTCCAAACTGGGTCAAACATTAGTGCTTTGATGCAGCCGCCTTCCCCGACTGCTGCTCCTTCCTCCTAGCGGCTGTTTACAACTTCTCCCGCCAGTCAGCCAGCCGGCTCCAGTGCTGCAGTTCCTAAGCTTTAGTGCAAACTCCAGACTACTCTGACTCTACATGGCCCGTCGGGGGTTTATTTGGTTTGTTTTGGGGCGCTAAGTGCTCCATTACGAAATTCTATGCTTCTAATCGTTGCCCACTGTCGATGTGGTTGGCCTTGTTTGCTTTTCGGCTCAGTTTTGCGTATTTTCGTTTTTCTGTTGCGCTTTTAATGTGTTAATTGACAGGCGTTGCTGCTGCCCCTGCCCCTGCCCCTGCCCCTACCCACTGTCCATGCTGCCACTGTTACTGTTGTTTTTACTGCCCCTGCTGCCGCTGTTACTGTTGTTGATTTCATTGAGCTTTTGATTTCCATTTTGCAGCATTGGCAACATATTTTCGAATTTGGTTTCCTTTAAAATTTACAACCTGTTGTCGCATTTCGCCCAAAAACGTCATCGAATACTAATTCAATTCAATAATTTGCAAAGAAGAGGACTCGAAATA